CCCGCAATCGCCCTGCGGGGACACTTGTCCCAAGTTTGGTGAATGTGGACGCTGATGTGTACCGCAACTATGTCATGACGAGAGTTATTCCAGTCATCAAGGCGAAGTTCCCTTCCGCGAGCAAACGTGTCGTGCTTCAGCACGACAATGCGACTCCTCATGGCGGCCTGACCGATGCTGACGTCACGAGCGTTTCGACTGATGGGTGGTCCTTTGTTGTGAGATGCCAGCCATCAAACAGCCCAGATCTCAATGTCTTGGATCTGGGTTTCTTTGCTTCCATCCAAACACTGCAGTACAAGTTGGTCAGTCGTTCACTGGGTGATGTCATTTATGCAACATACGCCGCCTTTCAACTCAGCGGTGGGGATACACTAGAAAAGGTGTTTCTCTCATTGCAAGCGGTCATGCGCCTAGTTCTGGAGAACAATGGCGGCAACCACTTCCGCTTGCCGCATATGCGAAAGGATGCGCTGCGTCGTTCCAGGGCGCTCATGTCCAATGTCTCTCTCGATTAGGCGAAGTGGCCAGTCAGAATTTTGTCCAATAACACGGAAGTATTTTGTTCTTGACCAATGGGATTGAAATGTCGCAAGTAATTTGGAAAAAGTGTGATTTTGAAATGTCGGTACTAATTTGGAACAGAGGAAGTACAACATAATACCTCGAATGGTGTTGTGATGATGTGGACTTGGAGGGTTTCATGTCGGCAGATGGTGTCTGTTTTGTGTGAAAGTGCTGTGAACAATGCACGCATTCGATTTTGTCTAATCACTGTGGATTAAATCATTTACTGGACAAAATAAATTGACATGCACATGTCGTCTTACGATTTCCAATCATAAGTCAACAAATGTACAGAAGAATCGGCAAAAGTATTTGGCCAATCAGATATTGCAGTCAACAATCATCAACGTAAAATTTGTGTGTGACTTCAATTAGTATTGTGCTTTTCAGTCAAATTTGCCTATTTTGGGGCGAATCGTGTCAGAGAAGGAGTATGATTGGCTACAAAGAATGAAGGTTGAAATTTGATTGGCTAAAAATATCTATTTTAGTAGTACAAAGATACATCTTTAACTTAGTTTTATCCTCGGAGTATGAAATTTCGAAAATCCGGTGATTGTGCGGCGGTTGATTTCAAATTTTGAGTAGAAAGCACAATACAACGAATTGATCGATAGGTTGGGCGAATCAGCACACAAGTCCAAATTATAAGGAAAACAGCAATAACAATCTCACTATTATTGACAGCTCACATCCCAGACTAGTAGGCATGCTTAGTCCGTCGATGCTGCTACCGCCATCCAAACGTTATTTACGCATACAGTTATGGACAATATGACGGTTAACTAACAGTGAATTAGTTTTTAGTTAGTAAAACCAGATCATTCTGGCCACGGACACAGCCGACAGGAACACCCCCGTGATAACCATAAACCCTGCCAACACCTTATACCATCGGATTTGAGAGGTCGAGTACGCCTGCTGGTGATAATCTTGATCGAGCATTTCCCACAGGAACAAGCCTGGGAATGCAAACGAGAGCAACACACCCGCCGTCGCTCCCACCCAATCCATCACATAGCTTAAGTCGTTGGCGGTCACGGCTAGAATCCACGACGCCACCAGGAATACCTATATATATATATATCAGCCATTGGGCCTGTTTCCACGATATATAAATATATATATATATATATATAGCGCACCGAAGTCGCCGCCAATCGAAACGCCATTTTCGGAAATAGTCCACCCGCCATGTCCTCCATCACTTCGCGCAAAGGTTGGTATGTGATGGGGGTCTTACATAACATACACACGCCCAATGCCAGTCGTACGCCGTTGATAGTCGGGCTGTCGGCTGCAAACCCAGTTAAAATATCCGACGGCGGAAACCTAATATTTAAATATATATATTATTATCGTATATATTTATATATATATAATTATTAGCCTCCATCATTTGTATATATGGCAAGTCTATACAAGTCCACCCAATCACCACAACAGAGTAAAACACACGACGACGATACGATATATTCCTCGAATTCAAAGCTAACATGAACAATTCCGGATAAAACAATTGAAAACTATCGAAAAAGAATTGAAAATTAAAGAAAAAATGTGGAAAAATGGAAACATTTCAACATGAAATTTTCCGGATAAAACAATTGAAAACTATCGAAAAAGAATTAAAAATTAAAGAAAAACTTGGAAGCATTTCAACCAATTGAACACTATCGAAAAAGAATTAAAAATTAAAGAAAACATATGGAAACATGGAAAAATATGGAAACATTTCAACCCATGTTGAGAAAAGGGAGGGAGCATGAATACATACATACCCGTGAAAGCAAGCATAACCCGCCAAGGCGGCAGTGAGGTACAGCGCCACGCCCGAGCCAAACAAGAGCGCAAACACGATGGACATGGATGGCTTGTGCGGCAGTTCGCTGTACACTTGTGGGATGTTGAGGTGCATGCAGTAGCTCAGCGCTTGGATGGGCATGGTGTACGCTACTCCGCGGAAGGTGACGGGGGAGACGGGTTCGCTGGGCCACGCGTTCTCTTGGGAGACGGCTTGGAACACCAGCACGACGACGATGTACAGCACGCAGCAGACGACGACGGAGTTGGTGTACTTGAGTGCGGCGACGGTGTCTGGAAGGCAGAGAGGGAGACAGATGCCGGCAAAGAGACCACCGATGACGAAGCGCGAGAGGAAAGGAAGGAACGGTTGGAGCATGTCGGTCGCGATAACGACGTACATGACGACGGCACCGAAAAGGAGCAGCATCACAAGACCCCGCACGATCCACAGTTGGATGGGATGACGCAGACGTTTGGCGAGGGATTCAAAGGACGTGGCGCCGCTGCCGTCGCACGCGATGCAGATGCAAACACACCCAGCATACGCGAGTCCCGCCATCGCGACCAACAGAAACGACGACGGCAACACGGGGGTCATTTGCATTGTGCTGGGCAGGGTGAGGATGCAAGCACCCGCCATGGTACTCATGAGACCCAGGTACGACGTGACGATCGTGCCATCCTGCGGAACGACTACTTCATCGTCATGGAGGGCTGGAAACTCCGTGTACAGTAGCGGCTTGGTTTCCGCGGCGGCGGCAGCAGGCGGCATGATTCCAAGTGATGAATATGGGCGGCGTTGCACAGTTGACACCATAAATTCCCTTATTTCAGCCAATATCCTAGCTTCAAATGAACCCATTTGTTTGATATTTTGGCTATTTTGTGGTTTGGCTTGCTCAAGTAGGATCAAGCTGGGCGAAGGGAACTAGCAAGAACTGGGTTGCTTGAGGCCTCGTGCTGAGCTAGTATCGGCGATGCCGACTAGATTGATTTAAGGAGATGTAGTATGGGCACGCAATTCTCCTCTGGACACATGTACTACCAATAGTATGCTTACAGTACAAGCAAGTGCAAGGAAGGGATCAACACAGCCCTGATGTTTCCTGTTAATCAATGTATTAATAATATTAATAGTATTAATTATGTCCATCCTAGCGGGTTAATACTATTAAGATAATAGTAACGATCTTTGAATTAAGAATTTTCATTTTCACTTTCACATCTAACACCGGTACTAGTATGTATGGGCAGACACTTTTTGGGAGGGTTCCTTTATTCCAAATTGCTATAATAAAATTGTTTCATAAAGAGGAGAATTAATGTAGTTCTTAGGACTTAATGTCGAGAGGTTGATGGAAAAAGAGCTAAAAGAGTGAAAATATCCATAACGTAAATGGCCAATTTATGGTGCACTTGAGCGAGACCTGGACGTAGAATGCACCTAATTCGTCTCTCAGGACCGGGATTTCAATTCTGAAAAGTGCTGTGTGAAGCTGAAAGGTTGGGCATTCTTCTGATTATATAATCGGCTTCATCTTAGCGTTCATTTACGTCGATTTCCACTCAAATCAGTTTATGGTTTACTGTTAAGCTTAACAAATGTATGCGGGTTTTGCTTATTTTTTGGTGATTTCGTTTTCTAGCGATTCGATTGGCTATTCATGAATTGTCAAGCAATTCTATTGGTCGTTTTGAGTGAACTTTAAACTGTCCTGTCCACCCATGAACTGGTCATCACCGTTAGGCTGAAAACAGTTCCGAGCCACTTGATTTTATCCAGTTACCTCTCAAAACGGAAATGGAATTGCAGATTATTGGTTGAAAAGTTTAGAGTGATTGTTTTCCACCAACCATGGATCGTGAAACACGCAACCACGTTGTCACGAAACTTCGCCCATATGTACTTCCTACTAACAGTAACTTACCTGTTCCATAATTATTGCAGCATTTGACTTCTGATTAGATTAAATTTTGCATTTCTCCTCGTAATCGCAATTGGATTGGCTCATTCGACAGATTCACATTCCAGCATTGATTTGATATCTCATGTTCTAGAAACGTCAAAGTAGTTTGTGCTTCATGACCCCTAAACTTTGTGACCTTATTTTTCAAACCAGAAAATTTTACGGTGCACAGTCGACAGTGAATGTATTTTGTAAGCTTAAGACAGTATGCTCGTGTGATGTCCTTACCTCTCCCCATCCAGTCGCAGCTCGTCTAGGCATCCAGATGTGCTCATGAGGTCGTTCCAAGTTTGTGATCGAGTGGGGCTCTGTATTTTGAGCATTTGCGTATATTAAGTGTCTATCATTAGCTTCCCATGTTACCAGAGATCAACATGACCTCTAGTAAGGTCGCCACAGTGTTGGCATGGCTTGATATGTTAACTCGTCCTGCAAAGGTGCCGACACGGCATCTAACTTCATCCTTAATATTTAGGATCTATTTTATTATACTTTTTATATTATGGGTATACAAACTACAAGTATGTATTAAAATTACCGTTGCTAACAAAAACTAAGATACTAACTGTAAGTAAAAAAATATGATATGCTGTAAAAGATATGGAACAGAGCAGTACTACTGTACTAGTATGCAATTAGGGCCTGTTCCAAGTAGAAATTTTAAGCAAATGAGAAAGTCATTCTAACAGTAAGTGCTAGTTTCCTCCTTTTTTACCTATTTTTCTGCGATTTTTACACAACTCGCTATACCAAATATAGAAAAAGAGGTCCTTATTTGACGTCTTTTTCTAAGTCATGAAAAAAAAGAGGTAAATCGATTTTGATTGGCTCATGCTATTTCTGAAAACTACTTGGAACTCCCTTGCTATTAATAGTATTTTGATAGTACTGTACCAGTGTTAGTAATATCTAATTACGAAATTAATGTCAGAATTGATAAATGTGTATGGGTGAATATGATCACTTTGCGGACACGTTCGGACAATTTCAGTCGGACATACTTGGCATTTGTATTGGACTTAAGGGGAACATATTTTGTCCGAATGAAAGTGTCCGAACGGAATATGTTCGGACATACTTGTGTATTGTATTAACCCGCATAAGAACGTTCAGCTTTACAGGGAATGACGTATTAAACGCCCCCGTGGTACTAAAATTTCGTATTGATTAAAGTATTGAAATTTCGAAGTAGTTTGTCCCAATACACAATTGAAATGCCAATTCGAAGTACCACGGGGGCGCTTAATACGTCATTCCCTGTACAGTAGCGAGCGACGACAGAGCATCCGCCCACAAAATTGCGCACACCGCAGCGTAGCGGAGGTCGTGTGTATAATTTTGTGCAGGCGGTGCCTTGGCGAGGAGTGAGCCCCAATCGTGCACTTCACCGAATGTCCAATCGATTCCTCTTGTCGGGAAAAGCGGCAGGTAGGCCGCAGGCCGTGCCGCTACCCAGACAAGGCCTGTGGTACAACTTTTCGCATTTAATGCGTAAATTCGGTTAAGTGCGTGTCCGAAGCAGCAAATATTTGTCCGAGTCGTTATGGTATGGTACGTAGTATTAACACTGTAAATATACTGTAGGCTCTCCACCTGGCCTTATAGACTAATTCCCCACAGCATGTATACCCTACCTGCCCTACCTTCAAAACACCCAAACTATAATAACCCCTTTGTTACCTTTAATCGGGGATTTCTGAGATACCATACAACAGCCAATCAGGACGCCTGAACTGAGGATTTATTGCACAAATAAGTACAGTGGTTGGTTCTCTAATTATGTCAATTATGTCAGCTACTAGTAGGTGTTAAGGCGTCGCAGTGGTTAGCGATAGCAAACCGCTGTGATGCGCTTAACCCGGGGAATAACATTATACTTCGAAATGTCCGTGCCCACGGGGGGTTCCAGGTGTGCGGAGACTTATCTAAGGAATTCCCCTACTAACTAGTAAAGGTATATACGTTACGTATACTGTACTAGTACAGTACTTCGAAGTAGTTCTGGTGTTTTGAAGGTACAATAAGCTTAACGTTAAGGTATACCTGCTGTGGGGGAAATATTCGGCCTTATAGAACAGTTAAAATTTTAACGTCAACGTTACCTATTTTTCACAGTCAATTTCCTTCTCAAGTGACGTTAATACTGTACTATTAGAAGTACTTCGTTGTCCATCGCTGCTACTTCACTCCGCTTTCCGCCGCCGCGGTCGCATCCGACGACCTCTACGGTCTCTGCACTCTGGTATACAGGTACTAGTAACTACAGTATTATTACATCTAGTATTAATAATAGTTAGCTGTTGGATGCACAGTATTTCGCCCAATGGCAAGCACAATCCTAACATTAATATCTCATTGGATGATAAAAACAAGTCATTTAACCTTCTAACGTTATAAAGAACGTTGCATGCAGGAGCGTGTGGTGTCGAGGAGTGGTGGAATATCCGCTTCATCATTTCGATACAAAATACAAGTACAACGTACGTGGGTCATTCCTTCTGCTTGACATTGTAGTATACGAAACCCTAGATGATGAAACCATCATAAACGTAATAAGCTTATACGTGCAACAAGTGACTTCACGGGGTGTGCAACGTTGGCAACAAACAAGCCTGCTCATTCCATCACTCGAGCCCCCTCGTTTGAAGAACTCAGCAGCACTTTGTATACTTCTAAAGGAGAACTGCAATGGTGGATTACATAGGTCAAGGCTGCTTTGCCGCGACGGCGTGACTGATATACTACTGTTCTAGTACTATTAATAGTAAGCATGTCGAATGCACTGTGAAATGAAAGGCTCGTATGGCGCGACATCATTATTGTAACTCACAGGTCTATCTCTCCATATCCGGATAGATCATTCTGATCATACATTTAAAATGCATTTATTGTATATTATTAAATGTATCATCATCTTTCCGCATACATACATTGCATACAAAATGCTTATAAAGTTTTAAATATATTGCTTACATACTATTGACTCTCACAGGTCTTCTTGGGGAAGATATTCATCCGGAAAATATTGCTTCATGGACGAAACGCCTCGTCATTTCCCGATTTGCCGACTACGAAGCACATCAAATGAGCGCCGCTGCTTTCGACGCGCTGATTGCCAAAACCTCCAGCATCGCTGTACCGACCCTGTGCACAGGCTACGTGTACAACCAGCACGAGAAGAACTCGATCATCTGGAAGAAGCGCTACTGCGTGCTCCAGGAGAACTCGCTGTACATTTTCCATTACGACAACGCGGAAGCGGCGACCCAAGGAGAACTCAAGGGCAAGATCCCATACTCGTCGGTGCATGACTGGGAAGGCAAACCTCATGGATTCCAGGTAGAATCAATACCTTTCCACCACTGAGGGCGTTGTTATCCTGACGATCACGTTTTCTGAATAGTTTTACACCCCTACGAACAAGTGCTACAAAGTGTACACGGATACCGAAGAAGAAAAATTGAAATGGGTGTCGACCATGCAAAAGCAACTCGATGATGCCCCCGATGTCCCGGATGGCGAACAAGTGCCGTACGCGCGCTTTGGCGCGTCATCCCCGGTCGGATCTCCTCGCCAAGGCGGAGGCCACCCCAGTTCCTTGAACCGTTCCAACCGAAGCGACTCGTGGCGTGGCGAAGAAGTCGACGTGCCGACCATGTTGCTTGAACTTGACGACTTGCGCAGCGAAGTGTCTACGCTTCGTTCCGAGTTGGTGTTGTTCCAAAAGGCAGAAAAGCATGGTGAACAACGTCGTCCCGGCGGCGGGCGCAACCGTCGCGGCAGTGTCCTCGACGACGGGACAGCCATCGCGCTGGAACCTCGGGAATTGGAGCGCATGAAGCAAATCTTTTCCTTGTTCGACCAGGACAGCAGCGGCCGCGTCAATGCCGCCGATTTGAAGGAATTGCATCGCCGTCTCGGCGAACCCATCACGGACGAAGAAGCGAACGAAGCCCTTGCGTTCATGAGTCCCGTGGACGGCACCGTCGACTTCATCTCGTTCATGAAATGGTGGAACGAGGACCACAAGCAAGAAGCGTCGGCCGCCATCCAGCGGTACGCAGCGCCTTTCGCGCGCAATCTGTCCTTTCTGCAACGCGCGTGTTTATGTGTTTCGCGCGCAAAATTTCAAATTTGAACCTCCCACTCACTTTTCGATTTCGACTGTAGATACCAAGCCAAGTTCAAATTCCTCAAGGCGCGCGTGGCCAACCCGGCGATCGGAAACATCGAAACGGAAATGACGGGGCCGTGCCCGTCGTTGGACTTCCGCGTGAACTTTGTCTACCACAACCGCGACGGATCCAAGGTGCGCATCTCGCCGTGGCACGACATCCCGCTCTACAACTCGGACGGAAGCGTCAACTTTGTGTGCGAAATCCCCAAGTGGACGCGCAAGAAGTTTGAAATCGCGACGGGCGAACCTTTCAACCCGATCAAGCAAGACACGAAGAACGGCAAGTTGCGCGAATACGGGTGGGGCGACATGATGTTCAACTACGGCGCGCTCCCGCAGACGTGGGAAGACCCGGACCATGTGACTGAAGGCACGGGATGTGGCGGCGACAACGATCCGTTGGACGTGATCGAAATCGGGACCAAGCAGTGGCACGTCGGGTCGATCGTGCAAGTCAAGATCCTCGGGGTGTTGGCGCTCATCGACGACAACGAAACCGACTGGAAGGTACTTGCGATCAACGTCGAAGACCATTACGCGTCCAAGATCCACGACGTGGCCGACATCGAAGCGCACATGCCGGGCTGCATTTCCGCCATCCACGACTGGCTCCGTGACTACAAGTTGCCGCACGTCAACGTGTTTGGGTACGACGGCAAGTGCATGAACCGCGACTTTGCCGAAAGCGTCGTCGCGGAAACTCACGAGTTCTGGAAGCTGTTGGTCGACGAACGCGGCCACGCCGCCACCGTCTAAGTGGTTGGCAATTTACTGGTTTCTTGGACGCAAGAGAAACCAATGACTAAGCAGCACAACTCACACACACGAAATATATATAAAGTTTCACCCGTAGTATTGTCGATTTATATATTTATATATATATATATATATATTCAGTGGATTTTTAGGCGCGGCGAATAAAGTTGTGGTAAAACACGAGCGCAATCGCCACCACGAGCACGACGATCACAAACCACAGCGTCAATTTGTGGGTCAGTACTCGTTGTGACATGCGCTGGAGCACGCGCCGCGCGTCGCCCGCCGTCTCCCGCGTGTCTTTGACCTTGTCATGCGCGGACAGCAACGTTTCCCGCTGCTGGGCCAACGTGTCCATGACCGAGATTCCAATGTGTTCGGTTTCCTGGACAATACGCTTCGACTGCTCCAGTTGATCGGATGCACTAAGAAGATCCAACGTCAGCCCAACATGAAAGGGTGGCGGAGGAGGAAAGGACATACCGCTGCAAGCGATCCGTGTTGGCGATCAACCGGTCATACTGCGCAACGCCGTTGGCCGACGACGACGATGACGACGCCGACGCATTTTGTTTCGATAGCAAAAGCGCGCGATCGAAATCTCTCTGAAGTCCTTGCAGTTCGTCTCGGTAGACATTGATCTACGATCCCATGATGATGAATTGTCGACGCCATGAGACAGTTGAGCTGCGTGCCCGTACCTTGGCTTGCATCGCTTTGCGCATCGCGGGGACCTTCCCTCGAAGTTCCACAGACATGAGCTTCATGCATCGTTGGGCTTCCACGATATTGGCTTGTGCCATTTGCGACGCCACATGTCTTTCTAAGACATCGCTCAACCATTAGAGAGAGTCGGCGGTGACGAGAACAGGACGGACATGATGATGACATACGGTCCGAAGAAGACAGATCGTGGATGGAGTTGTTAATGGTGCGCTTGCAGTCAATATAGTCTTCTTCCAGGCTCTGGAATCGCTCCGACAACTCGCCACCGGCGCCGCCTTCCATTTGCGCGCTTGGTTGTTCCTGGTAAATGAAGAATCGAACGAAGATTTGTCGAAACTGTACGGATGAATTTATCCGGAAATCTGATGTCGAATTCTGATTGGCGAAAATTATCCAGTTTTGAATGTGAATTTTATCCAATCATATTGTTCCATTAGAATTGCAATTATGGCGGCGAAGCAAGGGAAGGTGTTCTCAGGGGAAGATGACGAGTCCGACGAAGAAGAAGGTGAGGATCTGCGTGAACGTCGGTTCCATGCCTCTAATGTGTGGAATAGACGAATACGACGCTCCTTCCTGGTCGACCGCGCCTGCATCGAATCCTGTCGCCATGGCACCGTCCATCAACGTATCATTGCCTCCTTCGATCAAAGATGTGACCCCAACCAACACACACGTACCCGACACCCTTCCAGACGACGGAGATGTGGCGACATTGTCAAATGCATCAATCCATGACGACTTGGCCGCGTCGTCGTCGTTTCCTGTCCATGTGCGTCCATCGCCAGCCCCGTCGATCCTTCCTGAAGGGCCGCCATCATCGGCACACGACGACATGTGGACGTCACGTTTAAAAGGAGAATGGACGGAAGAAACCGGCATGCACAAGGTAACGTACATGCATCCACGCCCCATTCGATTCACGAACTTGGATAGATGGGTTTGGCCGGTGCGAGTCACTTGCACAGCGTGCTCGAAGGAACGTTGCATCAGATTACCGAACTGGCCGAGAGTCAAGAGGTACAGTACATACCCTTGTACAACTCTTCCTTCCATCCTTACATTTCCGCGTCCTCAGCATCTACTGTCGCTCGTGACGGAGCGCAACGTGCATCTCGTGACCCATCCAGCGCTCATGGTCGTGGAGCAAACAATGGCGCAGCTGCCGTCGTACTTTCAAAAAGTGATCCAGCTGAAACTGAAAATGAACGACATCACAACCACACTGGAGAAACTCAAAAGCCGAGCCGACCACCTGCAAGTGGAGGCGCAGAGTCGCGCATTGGCCAAAGAAGACCGCAATGACAAGCAATGCCAGTGGCAGCGGCTGTTTAGTGCGTCGAAATCACCGCCAAATGACTCAGCAACGCCTCCTACGACTACTGAATAGACACTTTAAAGCGTAGTAGTATTGTCGATTTGATATACAAAGTTGGCAATCGAATATCAATCGATCTGATTGGTTGTTGAATTTCATTGAGAAGGTGTTTTGATTGGTTAATAATTTTGAGCTCATCTGAGGTACCCAATCAAATCGGTTTAATAGGTTTGTAAATTCCAACGAGAAACGACATTTCACGAAAAAGCACGATACCTCTTGTTAAAACTTTCACATGTCCCAACTGTCCATTTGGTAGCAGTCTGAAGTACTATTGGTATTAATAGTTAGTTGTAGTTAGTGTGACTCTTATTGATGTATCGTGGTCTTATATATGTAGTGCATGACGAGGACTTCTACGAACGAAGACGTTAGTCATGTTCTGTCTCGAGCAGATTGCGCACAAACATAGGAATGGTCGAATGAGATAGCGCTAGCCCATCGCGTTCTGTGGCGGACGTCTGCATGTCGGCGTACAGCACTGGCACGCCTTCGATCTCGACCACCGCCGACGACTTGTCGACATGAGTCGCCCTCTTCCATCGGTCCAACGAGCCTGTAGTAAACAGAGCTTCGATACCGATGCCAGCACACGTTCCAGCCTGCGGTTCGTGTTCTGCACACGTTCTCTAGCTTTTTGGAATGTCAAGTACGTCGTCGCATATACGGCTAAACACATTGGGCAGCGCCAGCAGCTGTAGGCGTTCGAGCGGTGACTACGACGACGGGGTGGTGTCTGCGAAATTCCCAACACAAGTGCCACCCAAATGCCCGAAATGTCACGCCGCCGAGATGTCCATTACTACTTACTGTATACTATGAACGACTGAAATTGTATTACTCAGTATTGTACTTGTTCCTCGGGCCCATTAGATTTGATGAGTGGGATGACGACTTTTATTCGTAGTAATCCCCATCTATTTCCCCATACCCACAACCATCAACGCCGTCGAATATATGCTGGCTACCTGATTGATATTCATAGTCGTACAGTTATGAATACTAGTATACTATTGTCGATTTGATATACAAATTTGGGGAGGGGGTGCAACCGATCCACAATCGATTTGATTGGCTGTTGAATTTCAATGAGAAGGTTTTGATTGGTTCATAATTTTGAGCGTATCTGAAGTAGCCAATCAAATCGATTTAAATTCCAACGAGAAACCACAATGAAATGTCACTAAAAAGCACAAAATGCTCCTTGAATACTTTCAATAGGCCGTTCTGTAGTGTTCTGGCCAAATCTTATTAGGCCAAGAGCCCAACCAAGCTCAAGATGGCCATCCCCACGCCCGACGTAAACAGCGCAATCCCGAGCCATTTGGTCCCGTTGTTGTGCGTTCGAGACCCCATCTCCAGCATAAACAGCCCTATGCCCATTTCACATATTAAAGAATATTATATATATATATTTATCGATACCTGGCACGGCGAAATTGATGCTCAAGTCGCCAACTCCGCCCACAAAGCCCATGATGACACTCAAGTCTTTGAACGTAATGGCCATCGCAAATGCCCCGCAGAGCGACACGACCGTCATGACGACCCGTAGGCGGTTCTGGCGGAATGGTGACAACGGAGTACTACTAGTATTACTAGACGACGAAGCCGCACTCGCAAACATCAGTCCTTCCAACGCCTACAAAATTACATCGTATATATATATCATCAACCAACTTGACATCCTAGATAGATCAAGTAGTGAAGAGTACTGCAATAACAAAACATATAGGAATCGATAATATACAATTCCTGTGATTTCAAGAACTAGTATTTATTCATATGCATCCCTACTATCCAACCATCCGCGGTTATATTTGAATGCGGCATCGTTTCCAGTAAACATAAAGAATAATAACACAAATATTGTGCTTTCGAGTGAAATTTCGTGTTGTAGTTTCTCGTTGGAATTTAAAACGATTTAATTGGCTACCTCAGATGACCAATCAGAACCTTCTCAATGAAATTCAACAACCAATCAGATCGATGGTGGATCGGTTTGGTCTGCGCGATTCGATTGCATCCCCTCCCCAAATTTGTATATCAAATCGACAATACATGTTCACTCTAACACGGGTGTATCCAAACCATATATCATAATCCACCAGGAAATATCATTGTTTTAATAAAACTATTATGTATATATATATATATATAATTATTATAATTTGAATACTGTAATGTACTTGGAAATCATTTATATATTAAACAAAACAATATATTGTATACTTACTGTACAATAGTTTACGTCCTTTCAAAGAACTACCTGTAAAAATCAGCCAAAAATACGAGTAGTATACTGCAAAAGAACAAGGTATCGTCGTAGATAGTATATTGTCGATTCGAAATTGGAGTATTTTTGGGTGCTCAATCGAATAAACTACACCCATGAAATCGGCATACAATCGATATACGACCAATCAAAACCCAGCACACGAATCAGGTAGCCAATCAAATCCACTCTTTCGACCAATCCAACGTAGTATATGACTGAAATTAGTGTCATACGGGACGATCTTTAATTACAAAAGATAGAAATCAGCACAAAAGTCGACCTTTTATTGGGCAAAACGACAAAATGTAGTAAATGTATGTATGTACCTGCATATACGGCTGAAAGATAAGCGGAACTTTGAGCAGCACACTAGGCCCGAGCACGAGTCGGATCGAGTTGACGAGCCAATCATCAGTGGGGAATCCCGTCAAGATATCCGCGGGAGGAAATCCTTGAAAGCAGATGAATCCTGCAAACGTGAACAACACATACAAGATGAACCCGAGCACCATACTCGAAGCATTCACGGTGGTCATCTGGGTCTTGTCTTTGAGTTCGCTGTAGATGCGCACCGAGTTGATCTGGCACCCAAAGCTCAGCGCTTGGATGGGCAATGCATACATGAGACCCTTGGCGGAGGTGGTCGTGACGTCCGTGACATGGTCAGGCCAGGAACCGACCATGGCCGCGCGGACGCCGACGACCGCAAAGATGTAGAGCATGCTCGCGATGATGATGGCGTTCGTGTAGCGCAAGGCGTAGACGGTCTCGAGAAGGCAGAGCGGGATGGTGCCGGCGGTGAGCACCGCGCCGAGAGCGAGACGACTCACGTACGATGCGACGAGGGGATGCAGCATGTCCAGACTCACCACGAAGAAGACGGCTTGGATGCCGAAGAGAAGCACCAACGTCAGCACGCGCACGAACCACTGCCGCCACGGCCCGAACAAAGCCGCGCCCATCGACTCGAACGATCCCTTCCCAGTGTACTCGGCAACAGACGCACATGCGTTCAACGCGACGAAGTTGAACGTGGCCATGAACACAAAGAGAAGCACGTCCGGCACGACGTTGGCCTGGGTCATCGTGCTCGGAAGGGACAGCGTCCCCGCACCCAACATCGTCCCCACCAACGCAAACACGGACGTCCAGAACGTGCCTTGGGGCACATGGATGACCTTGGCCGAGCGGAACTGCAGCAGCGGCAGACCGTCGGCTTCCTTGGCGGCGGACATGGCTGTGATGAAGTCAAAGTGGGTGGTGGATTGTTTTATTCCGATGTCGATAGTGGTATTGGGAAGTTTATCCCATACGTATGTCCCAAATCTCGTCCTAAAATGTCTAATATTTGCTTAATATTGGAACTAAATTTGGAAATGTTTGAAATCTGTTGAATGTCGCGGTTTGCGCAAACTTCAATCGATGGGAAATACTACTCATCAGTATGTACTGTCTGTACCTCAACTTGGACACAAATATATGGCCAAGCGAATTTTCAATTTGGTACTCATAGTAACGTTACTAGTAATACTACTATAGTAGTATTTACTGCGCTTACGTACCTAATATTAGTAGGTACAATTAATACAGTAGTCGTAAACTACTAGAAGTACCGCACTAATTTTCAACGTCCACACCACGCTATATCTGCAGTAAGCTTAATTATGGGCTTGGAGAAATAGTGTGGACGACACGAATTTTGAATATTGAGAATTACAACTCGTAAGGATTACAGTATTATCTTGATTTTTGTATGTGGGATGTAGTACGGGGAGAAAACAGATATTTGCCGTGGTTGTGTACTGTAGCCAATATTATCAAGCGAGTAACCCGATCAAGCTCAAAATGGCCATGACAATGCCCGTGATTAGCAGGAAACTCCCGAGCCACTTTGATCGTCTGTCGTTGGTCTTTGTCCCCACTTCGATCAAAAACATCCCTATCATAATATATATGTAGTATTTGTCCATTCGAACAACAGGGCAATATATTATTACCTGGCACGGCAAAGTTGAGCATGATATCTCCCGTAGCCCCGACAAAGCCCATCAAAACACTGAGATCTTTAAACGTCACCGCCATCGCAAACGCTCCAATCAGCGACACGATCGTCGCACTCACTCGAAACGGACGTCCGTCGCCCCCTTCTGACACAGACGTAGGCAGCGCAATGGCTTCCAATACCTACGGAAAGATAAATAACATATTATAACAATTGGAATAACTTAATATAACATGAATAACAACACGCCTCGTCCAGTACAATGGAACAATGGTATTCACAATATCATTCATCTTCGACTGAAATTGACCAGTAAGATTGAGTGTGCTAGGCATACTAATGCACACAATTAATAGTATTGTGCCTTTTAGTCAAATTTGACAAGTTTGGAGGATTGATGAAATCGCCAACACATCGAGCAAACAAGTATGATTGGCTAAAACAAATCAAGGTTGCAAAATGATTGGCTAAAAAGAATGAATGCTCACAACGATACCTACCTCTTAAATTTAGTTGTATACAAAATTTCGCAGGTCCGGTCATTGTTTGATAAGTTTATTGTGAAATATAAATACAGTCGCAAGCAATACTAATAATACGCAATGGTACTTTAGCCTCATATACACGTGGTACGGAGTTATTACCTGCATGAACGGTTGAAAGATGAGCGGGATTTTCAAAATCACACAACTGCCCAAGACAAGGCGAACGCTGTTCACAAGCCAGTCGTCGGTGGGGAATCCGGTTAAGATATCCGCGGGAGGAAATCCTTGAAAGCAGATGAATCCTAGCACGCTGAATGCCACGTACAAAACGAACCCGAGCACCATCGTCCACGCGTTTACATGGGTCATTTGGGTCTTGTCTTTGAGTTCGCCATAGATTCGCACCGAGTTGATCTGGCACCCAAAGCTCAGCGCTTGGATGGGCAATGCATACAGAAGACCCTTGGCGGAGGTGGTCGTGACGTCCGTGACCTGCTCAGGCCAGGAACCGACCATCGCGGCTCGAATCCCCACGACAACGAAGATGTACAGCATGCACCCGACCACGATGGCGTTCGTGTAGCGCAGCGCGTACATGGTTTCGACAAGGCAGAGAGGGATGGTGACGGCGGTGAGCACCGCGCCGAGGACAAGTCGACTCACGTACGTTGCGACGAATGGATGCAGCAGATCGAGGCTGACCACGAAGAAGACGGCCTGGATACCGAAGAGAAGCACCAACGTCAGCACGCGCACGAACCACTGCCGCCACGGCCCGAACATCACGGCCGCCATCGACTCGAACGAGTGCTTCCCAGTGTGCTCGGAGGTCGCGACGCACGCATTGCACGCCGCCGCAGCAATCACCGCCATGAACAGGAACAAGACAATGTCGGGTACAACGTTGGCCTGCGCCATGGTGCTGGGGAGGGAGAGCGCGCCAGCACCCATCATCGTGCCCACCAACGCAAACACGGACGTCCAGAACGTGCCCCGCGGCTCATGGATGACCTTCGCGGAGCGGAACTGAAGCAGTGGCAGGCTGTCGCTTGGACTACTGGGTGGGGACATGGGAATACAAGAATGGCGTGGCGGCGACGACACTTACCACCACCAACTGAACGCCACACTTCAACTGCACGTGCCGATATGTTTGCGGTCACGTATCCGGATATAATCTCCTTAAGATGTAAATATTTGGGGGAGTGATCCAATGCACTACGTATACAATTTGATGGAAGGATTAAATTGACTTGATTTAAGGAATATGACTACATATGGATCATATGGATTTAACGTTACTTCAGAAGTACCTTAGTGTAATTGCGTGGCGTTCCCATGAGCTCCAAGTTGCTTGATCAGTGCTACTAGTACTACTAGTAGTAGTACGTAGTACTTCCTAATACTGTACAGAGTACGTCCAACTCCGAGCAGTACTCTGTTTAAAACATTAGTATTACTACAGTACGTATGATATTAATATTAAATAGTATTAATACTGTAATACTGTAGTACAGAATTACTACTGGGATGAGATGTAAGCCTTTTTAAAATTATACTCCGTTGGATTCAATGACTTGTATATGTGGATTATTGAATGTTGAGGAATCCGGCTGGGCGATGGAATCCGGATAATTCTCCATTTTCACAAATCCAAGAGACCAACGATGGCGGACCTCATGCTTCAGGGAGAGTTCTCCAAGGACCCGAACAAACCGTTCACGACGCGTGTGGACGAAGTGGCGGCGTCCTTTGATACCCTTGTGCTCGAATGCAGCGACTTGTACTTGGCCCTGGAGAAGCAGGAGTACGTTCGATCAAGCAGACATGGCGCCTCTCTTGATTCGTATCACGCACGTGCATCTCACAAGTCTGTTCTGAATAGTGCCACGCAGCAAGCCGAGGCTGCAGAATCGATCAAGAAGAAGCTGGAGGCGTTCAATTCCGTGTGCGACGAACTATACAAAGAAATCGTACGACTACCGTTTATGAAGGACCTTTCTGACGGCCCGCATGTAGATGCGTCGAAAGGAAAAGCTCGTGAATGCGAACGAGCGTGTTCCCGGCAACAACAAGTCCTCGGACCTCCATCGACAGATCCAGACGGCGGGCAACCTTGCGCAGATGCTGGGGGAATTTCGCCATTTCCTGGAAACTGGAAAATCCGACGTCCAATAATTTACCATAACATTAGGTTGCTTCCCTTGACGATGATATTAAAAGGCGCAGTCGGTATATAAGTATATATTCATGATATTCTTTTATTACTGTACTTGGTAGTACAGTAATAGAATAACATTCTGAAGTGTAGCTATCTATGCACAGCGAATTACTGTACACAGTATATGGTTGGTATAGTGTAGCCTGGTAAATAAGCAGCCAACAGGTTTTCCAATGCCAGCGATTAAATCGAAGGCAATAAGTTAGTTTAATGTTAATGACGAAGTGCAAGGCGCTCCTTGGGGCTACCCACCTCAAGTGTATATATATATATATATATATATATATATATATACTATAATAGTACTTAGTACGTATCACATAACTTTCCAGTTGTATTCCCCATTCAGATCAAAGCCAAGTCGGATTCCGACATGACCACCGCCATGCCGTACATTCTAACCGGGTTCAAACTGCTAAAGGGACTGAGTCCTGCCGCGAGTCGGATGAAAGCGCTGGGATTGCCATCCTTAGATGCAGAGTTGCTGACGAACGTTCAGAGCAAGATCGACACGGACAAGCAAACGTCGAGGTGTGTTGTCGTTGGAGTGCTACAATGTGCCGTTGGTACTGTTAGCCAATCAGATCGTACGAAACGATACACTATGACCAATCAGAACGTTCAGGTTAAACAAGTGCTAAAGTTGAAGTTCAAGTGTCTGACAATTCTCGTTCTATGATGTGTGGCGGTGGGGCGGTGGCGGCCGCAGTCCTATCGGTGTGGCCATGTTTACGAGTGGGTTCGTCGAAGATTGACAAGATCAATACCACGACGTGTTCGTGTACTACCGGTAGGGGGGAAGAGATACCAGCGGCAAAACGTGAATTAGGGTGGAGATGGTGTTAAAGCCGACCAAGTTCACAGCCCCAGGATGTACGTGAACGACGCTGACTTGTGAGATGTGCACGACTATCTATCGCGCTTCATACCTGTTTTCGGCGACATCGAAAATTGCCCCTACCTTTAGCGCCCCCTGTTCATTTCGCCCGTATTCGCTTCTGTGGCGAATCTCTTTAAGGGTGAAGTGACCATCAAAGTAGACGATGAGATCGAAGGAAAACTAGTGAGGCTGAAGCACAGTTTGACTTTGAGCTTTGCCAACGTGAGAAGAAGCGCGTGGGTGATTTAAATGGCTCGAAACTGCTGCAGCTGCCGTACTCACCTTCTTCCACAAAGTTTCTCTGGACTGTTTATCGTTCTTTAGCTCACATTTTTCAGTTATACACGTCGGACGTTTGGTAACGCGTGGTAATTTTTTATTGCGTGGAAATAGAAGTACTTGGTTGGAGTATACAATACAATTCAATTGAAACGTTAGCCAGATCCACCACCACATCCGTTCGTGCCACATCCTGACGACTTCAAACGACACGGAAAAAGAAAAGGTAGAAAAGGTAGAAAAGGTCTAGGGAGGCACCAGGAACCTTGCCAAAGCATGTGATCCCATTTTCTGCCATACAATCACTGAATTTATCAACACCTTGTATCCCACACCAATTATAAATTGTGATCATTTGTAGAAACACATTACATTGTACTACGTAGTACTACGTAGTATTATATTGCGTGGAAACAGCAGATATATTATATGACGTGATGTCGTCGCCCCTACATTCATGCTCGAATTTACGTTAGCACGGCATGCCATGACATTCAACGGTGTTAAAAGTAAGTTAAGCAAGATTGGGGGGTAAGTTAGTTGCGCTTCCCATCAAATGGACATACCGTTGTCATTGTACCTGGACACAATTCAAATATTCGCCAGCAATTCCCTCGCTGCAACAGTAGTACTTTTGTTACGTAATCATTTGGGCCCCTCTAATACAAAACCCACGTTATTTCTGGCACATATTCAAATCAAGTGTAAATTCAAAACTACTCATTTCAGCTAGGGGTTAAGTGCATCTCAGTGGTTAGCTAACCACTGAGATGCAGCTTAACCCCGGGAATAGCATTGTATGTAAGCGCAAGGGGTCCAGGGGTTACAGGACAAATGATTACGTAACAACAGTACTACTGTTGCAGCGAGGGACTTGTTCAAATATTAACATTCGACACCAGCTGTTCAGTACTGTGACGGGCCGAGTACATCACGAATTTGAAGGTAAAAGTTCGGCATACAATTGCAATTTGGTCGAATTATATTATCGCCCTGCCTTTTGAAGTTGATACTCCAACTACTATACTCTAGTATCAAACAATAAAATTATCGCCAATATTATTGCGAAAATGGCACATCCAAGTGGAGCTTGGCATTTGCACTATGTATTGTAAAGGAGACTTCAACAAAAAACGCCACGTGACTTTTATCGATCTTTGGACCATACCGTGCTGTGATTGGTTCTTATCTTTTTCGAAGCGATTGGATTGGCTAGTCCATTGTCCACCACAATGTGATGAGAAATGCGATGACTTTTCACCTTCACTTTCCAACTTGCCATGTCGAGCAGCCCGACCTCGTACGCCGCCGTCACGACGCCCCTAGACGTCAAGATCAACGCGGTGCCGACGACCATTCGCAAGCGCGTGCTGCACATTGCCGTGAACGAGTCCAGCAACCAGCACGGCGGACCTCGCACTCCGTCGGGTGCGTCACATTTTCTATACCAAGGTCAAGACGGCACCCACGAAGCGATTGAAGTGCCCGCAGACGAACTCGTGGCAATCCGCGACAAGCTGGAAAAGCCCAAGTCCTTGCTGGGTCAGTGGATGGCGACGGCCGTATGCGGTAACGACGTCATGTCCAGTTGCAGCTACTCGTCCGGCGTCGTGGCGTTGCAGGCCGGGGTCGCCAGTCCCGCCGCGTTTGTCGTCGTGTCCTTGGTGCTGTATGTGTACCGGTTCGTGTACGAAGAGGTGGTGACCGCTATCCCGCTCAACGGGGGATCGTACAACGTGCTCCTGAACACGACGTCCAAGCGTTTTGCGGCGGTCGCGGCCTGTCTGAGTATCCTGTGCTACATGGCTACAGCGGTGGTGTCGGCCACGACGGCGGTCAACTACTTGACGGTGACCGTCCCCGAGACACCCCTCGTCGAAACCACCATCGGGTTGCTGGCCGCGTTCGCGTTGCTCATGATCATGGGCATCAAGGAATCTGCGGTTGTCGCCACGGGCATTTTTGGCCTGCACATGATCACGCTGTCCATCTTGGTCGTCGTGTGCTTGGTGTTCACGGTAAACATCTCGACGGTTTCATATCTGTTCTCTTCAACCTTTGTGATATGATAACCTATATATTTCGATAACCTTTATATCAGGATACGATTGAGTGAGGTTTACAGACGTTTGATTGAGGTTTGCAGACGTTTGATTGAAGTTTGCAGACGTTTGATTGAGTTTTGCAGACGTTTGATTGAAGTTTGCAGACGTTTGATTGAGGTTCCAGACGTTTGATTGAGGTTCCAGACGTTTGATTGTAAGATTATTGTAGATCCAACACCCGGAGATCATCAAGAACAACTACACGAACGTCACGTATCCGGACGTGGACTTTATGGGCACGCAGATCCAGGGCAGTTTGGGGTCGGCGCTATTTTTCGGCTTTGGCGCGGCGGTGTTGGGGGTCACGGGGTTCGAAACGTCTTCTAACTTTGTCGAAGAGCAACAACCCGGCGTGTTTCGCAAAACCATGCGGGTACGAAACGTTTTCTTTGTTTGTTTTTTAAACCATTCCGTAGAATATGTGGAGTATTTCGTCGTTTTTTAATATTTCTCTGGCCGTGCTGTGCTTTGGCGTGCTGAGAATGGATGGCGACGACGGTATCAAGGCCAATCAGCACAATGTATTGGCCCAGATGGGGCTCGTAGCGGCGGGAAAATGGGCGCAATGGCTTGTGGTTGTCGATTCGTTCATTGTGTTGAGTGGCGCTGTGCTCACAGCCTACGTTGGCATCAACGGTACATATATATATATCAATCATATCAATCATTACCCAATCATCTCTTGTCTATTTGAAGACATGTTTTCTGCGACTTTGTACCGTAATGTGTTTGATGGGGGGTTTGTTATACAGCTTGTTTGGCGGCTTTTAGTGTTTATGTTTACGTTTTCAATGGGATTTTCGTTTCCAAAACTGTTTTTTTCGATTCCAAACAGTGTTTGTCAACAAATATCGTTCATTTTCGTGCTAATACTTTTCTTCCAAAAACTCCATCGATTGTTTGTATATATATTGACATATTGGATGGAAACCTTGATCAGCGTCACACACTAATTTCATTCACACACTATTTCGACGTTGAATTGAGGTTTGTGTGTTCTGGATTTTGATTGGCCGATCGATATTTGGCGGTTTCACATATTTTTCGAATTTTCGAATCACTGTTCAAGATGATGACCCCTTCTTCATGAACGTAGGTCTGATGCGCCGATTGGGGTCGGATCGGGTGGTGCCGGCGTTCTTCGTCTCGACCAACAAGTGGCGCGGCACATGTCACTGGATCGTGCTTGTCTTCTTCGCCGTGTCCACGAGTCTCGTGCTGGTGCTCAAAGCCGACCAGACGGTCGTGGCCGGGGTATACACGTACTCGTTCCTGGCGCTCATGTTCCTCTTCGGGTCGGGGTGCATCATGCTCAAGCTCAAGCGGCAGGACATTCCCCGCGACGTTTCCGCGCCGTGGTGGTACTGCGGCCTCGGGATGACGCTGGTCGCTTGTGGGTTTCTCGCCAACTTGCTCGGGAACCCGCAAACGCTCATGTACTTTGTCTCGTACTTGATCATGACGTTAGTGGTTGTGTTTGCCTCGCTCGAGCAAGTGTTTCTCCTCCGTGTGCTCGTCGTGCTCACGAACCTCGTACGTAAACACCCCCAGAACCACGACACCCCACAAAGCGACGGCAACGTCGAAGTCCCACCAGATGTTGCTGCGAAACAACGCCCGAGCTCGACCCCTCTCGAGAACGAAAACGCCAACGTGTCTGGCTTGGTCAGCGCGATCAAGGCGATTCAGTCGGCGCCCGTGGTGTTCTTTGTCAAAGACGCCGACCTCACGACCCTCAATAAGGCCATTTTGTACGTCCGCGCGAATGAGCTGACCCATAACCTCCGCTTCATCCACGTCTACCCCGCCGCCACCGTCGATGCGTTGGAAGTAGTGGACCAGCTCAAGGACATGATTGCCATGTTTGATCGCGTGTACCCAAAGATTCAGTACGTACTAGTATTACTAGTAGTAGGAGGACGTTTGTTGATGGGTTTGTTTGGAATAGATTGGACTTTTACTCGTTGGTGGGCAAGTTTGAACCAGCGACGGTCGAATGGGTGGCCCAGACGTACAAAATCCCGACCAATATGATGCTCATCAAGCAGCCCACGAATTCGCAGGTCAAGGCCGTGTCCACCCACGGGGTTCGTGTTATCACGGGGTAGATATATATACTACTACTAGTACTACTAGTACGATTACTTGGATAACGTTAAATTCAGAATCACATACAGGTTTTATTGGCAATAACAGATAGGATAGACTATATAGTATGTACTAGTAGTATTCTTGTCAAGTTGATTCGAACTTGGAGTTCCTACTGTACGTAGTAGGGGGGGTGCTCAATCGAATGAGCAGACAACCAAATCGGCACGCAATCGACTGACCAATCAAAACCCAAAACATGATGCAAGTGGCCAATCAAACACCTGCAATTAGTGTGTGACTTCAAATAGAGCCTATTTTTCGGGATATATGGTATTGATATTTGTGGGAACGGTATTGCAGTATTGGTGAGTGTCATTTCATCATTGACTTGTAGTAGTACGTACGTAGTAGTAGTTACAGTTAGTTTTTTAGTTACTTCGAAGTAGTACTTTGTTTGGTAGCAACAGGAAGGGAGGACACATCCAAATGCACATTCTGTTCGGGTCGTGTGCCCGTTGTCTGAACCGGAGCTGGAGCTGAATGGATTACAGAGACTGTCGAAGTAATGACACTAGCGTTATGACGTTTTGAGACTTTTTAGCGGTGGCATGAAACTACTACCTTCCACGAAATTCCGCCAATCATCTGTCGAGTTCTATTTATAGATGACCGTTTCACTTTTGGGTACCTTACTTAGTCTGTGGCTACTGGAAGCACACAACACCATTCGTGTCTGACCATGGCAACCACGACTCCTCCATCACCCGTGAACCTGCTCAAACCTTCGTCATGGATGAACTTGAGTCCTCCGCCGACGCACAAATGCGTGCAGCAATTCCTCATAGTCAACGTGGTGCTTCCCATCGCCATCTACTATGCGGCGTCGATGGTCGTGTCGGACATGCCAGCATTGGCCTTCTCCGCGATTCCGCCCGCGGTGGAAGCGTTGCAACAGCTCGTGGCGTACCGCCTCTTGGACCCGATTTCGTGCACGGTAGGTAGTACTTACATACAGTAGCCGCCGATTCAACAAGTTGTACTACTATGGTATTTCATAGCAAGTGGTGTCGGTCGTACTGGCCGTGGGGCTCATGTACTGGACCAACGAGCCCAAGGTGCTGCTGCTGCAACACTCGATCTTGACCGTCAGCTTTGGGATCGCCCTCTTGGTGTCTATTCACTGGGATGAGAACATCTTTTGGCGGTACTACCGTGAATTCTGCGGCACCACCGACGATAAACGAGTGATGCTGATGGCGCAGTGGCGAGATCCCAACGTCAAGGCTCTGACCAAGACCGTGTCCTGGTTCTGGGGCGTGGGCATGCTGGTTGAAGCCGTCGTGCGCGTCGGGTTTGTGGTGTTGCTGCCCATCAAGGTCATGGTCATCCTGTCGCCGTGCCTCGCGTTCATCTTCACCATTGCCGTGTGTTCATGGACGGTTTGGTTTGCCAAAACGCACGGCTTTCACCTGGTCACGAACGACAAAGACACTACGGCCACGACGGCCAACCCCAGCCACACCCTATACCAAACGATTTAACAACGTCGGCCGTTTCGTAGATATATTACGCCATTACACGATTGTCCATACTGTCGAGCTTCATACAACCCTTCGTCATGAATACAGCGCTACGTTGTGCTCATAGAACACTAGTATTTCTCGCATCATGTAGCTAGGCTCCGATGGATTGTCTTCTCCACTGGAAACTGCTAAGCTTATCACCCACAATCCCATTCAAGTTTGCATCGCTACAGCTAGTTTGCTCAATTACGCGATTTTAATTGGTGGTGGGTTGTAAGGTACCCCTTGAACCATTTCCACTGTGGAACAACCATCGCAACAATTTTGGGCGGCCAAATATCGTCTAGCCCAGAGAATACCCACGGCCGAGCAAAGCAGCGCCATACACGGGGACAGGATCACCATGACGTCCGTGGAGCACGTATAAATAAATCCAACGCGAACGAGGGCTTCCGCGATGAAGAGGCTGCCCCAGACGTAGCAAATATGCGCACATTGTTGCGCCAGGTGCGGGGTATCTTGCTTTGAATCGTCGGAAACCCCCGTCAAGTAGTACCGCAACACGAGGTTTTGTTTCCACGTGGTCGACAGAATTAGAGCCACGCCACACAGCGCAGTAGTGAGCGAGTCCTTGAGAAAGAGCAGCCGAGGGTCGTTGGTCACACACATGAACGCAATGGCGAGTGAAATGGACACGATTTGCTACAATGTGGTGGTTTTAGCAATGATATTATATGGATATACAGCAATGTGGAGTACAAGACCGATCCTAACACTTATACATGGAAATGTTGGTAGTATGGATGGGATAACTAACGTACAAACACAGAGAGCGGGTCCACCGTCTGGAACGCCAGCATTTGAACCAGGGCTTCAATTGCTGGTGGGATCGCTGACAACGCCAACGCCAGTGCTTCGGACGTGAACTCTCGGCCGACGTAGTAGATCACCACGGGCAGCCCCACGTTAACCACAAGGAACTGGTACACTTGCTTATGCGGCGCTGCAGTCAGCGGCATGTTGGCGAGAAAGCGAGTGTAACCGATTCTGAAACTGTAACCGCCGTAGATCCGACTTTCACCGTTACAAAGGAACTCATGATAGCCATTCAAATCGATTTTTACCGTTACATTGGAACTCGTCATAGACATGGAAATCTCCCATTTGCCCTTTTCCGTACAATATTAGATCCCAACAGTTGTAGCGTGTGTTGCCATCTTATACAATTCCAACATTTCCTGTTTTCGCCAATGAACGCGATCGATCATATGGGTGGTTGGTTATTAATAGTAGCAGTTGTGTGCAGCTATTCCGTTTACACTCCAACTCTTGTAGTTTTCCTATGTTTACGCATCCTCCTTGTAAAGTGAGTGTTGTCAAATCCATTCGAAACTGGAGCCCTCTGTATAATCGAAAGTTTTTAGAGAATGGATTAAAGAACCGCCGAAGCCAATCAAATCACGTCTTGTCGAATTTCTGCCAATCCAAAGGTTTGATTCGGCCCAGTCCCTTCACATTGGGCAAAACCACATATATCATAATCTCGGTACAGTTTGGTTTGTACAAGCTTAAATTAACGTTAGATCAAATGGATTCGATCGAGTACAACATGTATATTTCATGTGATTGGCTACCTTACGTTTATCTTTTCTGCCAATGACTGCAGTGCAAAGAAAATATAATGGGACAGCGTCGTGGCGTTATTTATATTATGGAGTCAATTAAATTAAATTACACAACCTTGCCTACTTGTACAGTATGAGTACACTATACTACGTAGTACTATTATAGTGTTACTCATTGATATTTCCAGCAATAATGACAGTGAATGACCAACTACCGATGTCGATTACTACGCAGAGGGGGAATAGCTCAGGTGGTAGAGCATCGGTTTCTTAACTCAAAGGTCGTGGGTTCGATCCCCAGATTCCCCGGATTATTTCCGCAAGGATTTATCCGTCCCTCCCCTGGGGAATCCGGATAACAAGGGCTGCGTACGAAGACGAGGACCGAACTTCGAAGAAGATCGGTCGAAGCACGAGGTATGAAACGTTGAGCGAAGTAAAAACCGAAGATTACACACCGCCCCTGGTCCAGCAGGCGCGTTACAATTGGCGAAGCGGTTCCATAACATGTGGTTCTAGTGTCGGCCCTCGCGAGGAATGTCTTAAAAATGATAATCCAAACTCAATTACTACGTAGTAATCGATTACACGCCGTACCACTGTAGTAGTAT